GTCCTCGGTTAACTCTCTTGATGATAGTTCTCCCGCCTGAACCTTTGCGTCCCGTGGCCTTCCTTTGTATCTGCCCGTCCTCGGTTAACTCTCTCGATGAGAGTTCTCCCACCTGAACCTATGTGCTCGTGGCCTTCCTTTGTGATTGCCCATTACTTGGTTAGCTATCTCGATGGTAGTTTCCCTCCTGAATCGGTAGGACCCTAGGATCTCAGGACCTCTGACCCTTATGAATCCCTTAACAATATTGCATTCGGCAACGAACCTTTAAACCTTTAGGACTTACCAATTACCTTCTTTGAACCTTGACCTAGACCTCCAGTGGGACAGTTGACGATTATATTGGCCGGCTTGATGTCGGCAACCTTCTTTGAACCTCGCTCCTCGGCCGCATACCAATTAGACGGATTAACCTTGGATAACGAGGCCCCTTGCCTAGACCTCCAGTGGGACACTGGACGATTACCTTGGCTCGCTTGGATGCTCCTTAGTTGGACCTTAGTTGGTTATGCTCCTCGCGGGTGGACTCCAGCTTAATGTTGGAAACCCTCCTTGAACCCCACTCCTCGGCCGCATACACGTTAGACGGAGAAACCTTGGATACTGGGACCTTGATGTATAGACCTCGGAGGTAGGAACCTGTCCTGATGCTTAGACCTCTGAGGTGGGATACCTGTCTCTTGCTTAGACCTCCGGTGGGATACCGGACATCTGTCTAGACCTCGGAGGTGGGAACCTGTCCTGATGCTTAGACCTCTGAGGTGGGATACCTGTCTCTTGCTTAGACCTCCAGTGGGATACCGGACATCTGTCTAGACCTCGGAGGTGGGAACCTGTCCTGATGCTTAGACCTCTGAGGTGGGATACCTGTCTCTTGCTTAGACCTCCAGTGGGATGCTGGACCTGTTTATATCTCCGGAGCCTGACCGTGGCATGCCTGGGACTGCCTGCCCGGACCCTGTCCGTTACAGTGCAGGATAGATTGCTTGGGGAAGAATATTAAACCAGTGTCTACCTAATATGACCACTAGGCAAGATTGGATAACAGACTACCGGGTGAGTATCTTAAATCAGTGTGGTGCTTACCTAATCTGGGCACTAACCAATAGCAGATAAAAGATGCTGGGTGAGTATATAAGCCACTATACTACACCAATGAATGCCGACGACCAGCTATCATCATGCCACGAATTCTAAGGAAATCACTAAGACCTTCGCCTCACGTCTCAGTCCATCATGAATTATGAAGGTATCTAAAGGCTTCAAGGTATTTCATAAATTTGGGTCACTTGATGCATAAAGAGACTGCCGACAATACGAGTATTTAAGTGAACTTTTTCGATACTATCCTTAGTAAAATAACCTTCTACAGGAATACACTGGGAATTGAAGGACACAAAAACAAAAACAACGTACAGTACCTCCTCGGCCAAAATGGGCCGGCCAATCCAGTCGCCTTTTTCATCCATTTCCCATACTAAAATCTTGCGGGACCTAACAACAAGGACAAGGTATGCGTGAAACTCACGATTTTCAACCAGTCCTCTGATCTCAGGGCTCAGTACATAGCTCTTCAACTGAGCAGTAACATCTGTTTCAATCCAATCACAGATTGTTCCCTTCTTGTATTTCTCCCGCCTGTGGAATTTGAGTTCCAAAACACCATTAACACTAAGTTCACTTAGAGCTTCAGCCCCCCCATCGTCATTGAGAGAGTTTCCAAGATCTAGAAAGTCAATTTTAACAGTCTTCCATTCTGTGACTACACAGTGGCTAGGCGATGTAATGAGAAGATCAACCAGACAGGGAACTCCACCCAGCTACATACCATGGCACTGTATTAGAAACGGGGAAGTAGATAGATGGAAATGGTATACCACATACCTTAGTAACCTCATACTCTACCTGGGGGTCCAAACCTGGGTTCTCAAGAATGGCTATATGGAAGCTGTCCTAGTGCTGCTGCTCCATTATCACATATCCGCCAGGTTCGATATCACAGGCTGCTATCAGTTCCCGATAACCACTTAGGGGTTTAATGATGTTGCCATGTAACGCCAAAAACCTGACGGAATACTGCATAGAATCCAGCAAGCCAAAGCAGTTGAGAATAGTGGTACCGAAGTATGCTGCTGTGATGCGGTTTGGGATGGTAAGAAATTTAGATAGATTCTCCTTGTCAAAGGTAAATGCTCCAAAGTACAGCAGTAAGGTATGCCATGCAACCTCTTCGCCACCTCTGAGAGCCCTACTCTGGAGATCCACAAGGCTAAATCTGTCAACCAATGTAGAATATGGGATGAGGGAATATGTTGTTGTCTGATCAGGTGAGGGTGTGAGGGCACTTTGAATATAAGCGACTGCACTTGGTAAAGATGCACAGATCCCTAAGAACCATGGAGACACTTCAGAGTTTGGAGGGTTTTCAACATGGAAATCCTCTCCTGTCAAGACCGCCTATCACAATTACAGTCAGCTCTTGGAGAAGGGGTGGCAGGCAAACAATTTTAGGGAAGGTATCTAGCAACTTGCCTGGAGATATTCTAAGCTTGTATCTGTGTTGAACACAGGTTTGGACTTCCAGTAACTGCAGAAGTGATACCCATTGGCATATTTCGTTAACCTGACGAGATGTCCCTCAACGTTGGTTTTTGATTCACAAATTCTCTCCAATGCTTCTTCAACCTCCGCTTGAGTCAACCTACAAAGTCCAGCTACGCCTTCCTTAAATAACATGTTCACCAAAATGTTGAACACACTAGTGCTGTCAGCCAAGGACAGTGAAGAGATGCTGGTGATAAAGCATTTACGGATACCACAGGGTAGGCCCATTATACCCTTCACTGTGGCCCAGAAATCTTTAAGCAATGTTGACGCATTGGATTCTACCCAGGTATGCGGATTGTTGGGATCCATATACTCATTGGAGAAGGTGTCATATTCATCGGCTAGCAGGTAGATCTAGAGATGGTTAGCTGCTAATCCTGCTCCGTTCCATGTTACCAGTATTAAGAACCTGAACATAGGGATTAAAAATTTGTATGGTGAATTATCTGTACACTCGCATCCGCAAAGTTCTTGTAACACGTCTGGTACCCCCATCAAGATGGACTCAAGTAGCAAGACAGTGACAACTCTTTTCCAAGAAATTCTTTTAATCCAGTAATGGCAGATTCCATAGAGGATGTTCAGATCTTTTTCCCTATAAATAGCTCCTGCAATCTACCTGTTTACGGCTTTCAAGACTTCGCGATACATCAGATGTTGGAAGAACTTTGCACACACAAGTGTACATATCCGAGCACCCATAATGAATTTAGGCACAAGTATTCAGGTTCTTCATGCCAGAAACGTGTAGGATTTATTCATGACTTACCCCTTTGACATTGGCGAGAGGATGTTTTGTGTCTCCTCTATCCTTAATCTCACGCAGTGTATACCCTAAACCAGGGGTTAGGGTTACTCGTGCTGGCCGGTCAAGGTTACTTGTACCATACGAATGGAAGGGAACTTGGCTCCTGAGGCTGCGAGCAATTACCATACCGGTACAAATACCGGTATCGTGCGTGGGCTCCACCACGCTCCTCGACCACCTGTAGAACTGGAAAGCGCACGAGTACGAGTACAGTATGTCCCAGCATCACCGGTGCCGTAGCATTGGAGCCCGGCAAAGTTAAGAATTACGGTAAGCCCCATTGACAGCTATTGTCAGGACACGGTACCGCTCATGTCGAGAGCGAAGCCCCTGACCCCCCTCCTCGCTCGCATTCCGCGGGTTACAAGGGCCGACCATGCTCCCTGCACTCAATGTACTCGAGTACGAGTACGTTACTCGAGCACTGTGCTCGTACAGACAAAACTTTTGGTGAGCCCGGGGGGAACGCCTTCGGAATACGGTACACATTCAAGCCCCGAGCAAGACTTAATGCGTTCTCAATACCCATAATTCCCCTGATAGCATACTTCTGGCATCTGTACCCGCAAAGGGTGATTGAATAGCAAGAAGGCACCGTGTTGACTTGATGTGTTGTTGCCGATGCACCTACGGGTGCGCATCATGTCTGTGGAAGGTTGATTAGACTAAAACGGACTGACAAAATCTCTCGATACGACGAAGCTTATGTAATCGGGTCACCTGATGGACCTTGAAGTCCGAACTTCAGGGGGTGGTATTACCACTGTTATCGGGGTTTTTGGCCGTTATCACAGTGCTGAAGGGTGGTCTTCTCTCTGTGGGGGCTCCATCAGAACGAAATTATAGGATTTTTTAATGGTTGGAATGCATCATCCATCACGTTCCATAACTTGCCCTTCCCCCGCCCGGGACTGGTGAGATTTGGGCACTGAGAACCAGCCGGATTATCCCCGACCACGGATATGATCACGACATCTATGACGGGAGAGATATGATAGCTCAGTCCTTTCCCGGCTAAGTGGGAGGCCCATCGCCCGGTCCACTGTTTAAAAAGAACCCTCGGGCCTATGGGGAAAGATGATATGGCGGTGCCTATGGCACACGTGGCCGGCCGATATCATAGGCATAAATCCAGAGAGAACTCGACAGATTTCTTATTTATTTATTTTTCGGAACCATTCTAGGATCCATCGTTATGAGGATACAGGGCGTACTGTGCTCGTACAGTACGAGTACTCTACAATACGGTACCGCCGATACATTAGATGGTATGATAGTCTACCGTTCCGATACGCGGCTAGGCCATCGAACTCGCACCCGCGCTAGATAGAGGACACATCCACGGATAGTCGCGCAACTACCGGCGGTCCAATCGTACTGTATCGCTGGTGGGGTCTGCCCTCCACCCGATCGAGACAACCTTAATAGCGGTCATCTTCTCCGAGAAATTCCACCCCCGCGCGAACCCGACCTGGGTTTTCGCACCCATGGAAAAAAAATCAAAAGTCAAGCGCCGAGTTCCCTTTCAACCTCTCTCCCCAACGTGCATCACTTGAGCCTGAGGTGCTCCGAATGCCGTAAGGTCTTTTCCAGTTTTGATAGACCTGCGGTGCTGTACTCAAGGGCCAACTGCGAGTGTCAAAAGGTGAAGAGAAAAGCAATCATGTTTTAGCTTTGTCGCATAATTGGTCAACTGCCGCTAAGCGAGGCTCCTGCATCACCACTTTAGCGCCCTTTAGACTGTGATACCCCATATATCCTATCGAGTGGTTACTCGAGCACTTGTCTGATACCGTACCATGTTATAGTCAACCGGCGAACATATCGTGCTTGTATGACACTTCCACCCTCCTGTTACAGGTGTTTTAGGGAGGAACGAAGCGATAGTAATTTCATCTTTGTTTCCGATCTGTTTTCTTAAGACGACCATATATAAATCCCGGGTGCATCCCTATTTCGAGGAGTCTTTTTCTCCTCCCCGGCTTGTGCCACTCCACCGGTGTCCACTATACTTGCTCTCTGGTATCGTGACCGCTGGCTCGGTCGGTCATCCCATACTTTGGATCTCTCGACGATCCTCGCTCTTCTGCATGATCTATATGTTTTCCCGCTCCCGCCGTTCCTTTGGGCCTTTTTATATACTCAATCATTCTTTATAACCCTCTACCCACACATTCCCTTAAGGCTCTGTGAGCCTTAGGTAGCATCAGGATGTTTCGGGAAAATTTCCCGAGCTTTCGCAGTTGGGGGAGCATAGGGACACCCTCCAGAGGAACGCCGGAGCCATCCCTAAAGGAAAGCCGGGCACCGATAGATCCGCCAAGAGGGGTTTATCTACGGAAACACCGTGTACAGACATACCTGATAGGATTATGGATTCTTTGTATAATAGCGTATATTGCGTCGATAGAAAAGGCCATTCACGCACACCAGTTGAGCCCGGAGATAGAGGAGCCAACTCCGGAGAGTCTGTCGTTTGGATTGCGAGGGACTAGGAGGAGGCAGGAAACGGTGCAGATATTCAGTGTTGCGAGAACGATATTGACTGCGATACATGTACAAAGTTTCTCTTTTCCTTCTCCCCAGTTTTTACTCGCTGGTAGAAGTGAGGCTGAGTTCGGAAGAGAGCTAATGCGTTAGGCTAATAGATTCCGATCATCACTGCGACGCTCTCGTCCACATTGCCGATATTGACCCAACGAACCAAAGGACGAGGGACGACCATCAATGCTGAGCAGTTGTTTATGTTGGCGGATAAGACATGGGCCGGGGCTGGTGGATGGTACGAAGCGCTTAGAGTTCGGAGGCTGTCTTGGGAATGGTGGAAGTGAGTTCGCCAACGCTACTGTCTGCACCGGATTCTAACGCGCCGCTAGGTTGACCATGCTGGTCCTTACCTGTTTTGCAGGCTTCCCTTTCCTAACGCTCGGCTACATAGCAACATCTGATCAGTACTGGGCAACCTACGATTTTCGAGGGGTTCAAGTCTTCCGGTTTAACCAGACCGTCGCTGCCATCCGCCAATCAATGATATCAGAGTTATCAGACTGGGTCCATCGCTTTCCTCAGCGTGAAATCGGAATCACTAGATTCCAAAAGTCTTTCGATTCTTTTGGCCCGGATGGTAACTCCATATATTCCTTCTACCCGCCCGCCGACGCAGCCAGCAAGCTTGGCCACTTTGTAACATACCTCGAGCCCCTGGACGCAGAGCCGCGGCTGGTAGTGGCAAACACAATGGGGATGCTCCAGAATTTGCAGTGCCGGACATTGGAGCGCTCGGAGAAGCCCAAATACGTTGACATGTCTGAAATAGAGTGGAAATGCGCGACCGATTGCGCCAATGTTACTGACCCAATATCGAGGAGGAACATGTGTCACGCGCAGAGCTCAAAAGGGAGACCCGGGCCGAACGGGCAGTTCGCACAAATCACCAGCTGCGGCCAGCCCGTCGATACGTTTGACGGTGTATCAAACAAGGTAATCCTAACTAAGGCTCGGATAATGGAGGTGGAAATAGCATACAAACTCGACCCACCGTACGAATCCGTTAGCGCCTCCGTCTTCCCGCCACCAAAAAACGCCTGGTCATTCCGCGCCGGTGATAGCATCACCGCTGACAGATACTACGTCGATATTCTGCGTTGCTCCGCAGCGCTCATTCCGGGAGACGGCATCATCGACAGCGTCATCCGGCGATTTATGCACTTTATGCCATACGGCCTCGGCCTTGCCCTCGAGACACCCGAAATAATGGACTACATGGAGCAAGCACTTCCAGAAATGCTCAATATAACTCTCCACCCAGCCCTCTCTCTCCTGCATAGTACCTTCCTGTCATCTAATTACGGACCCAACGACAACATCTCCAGCCCCTTCAACACCTCGCTACCAGCCTACTTCGGCCTGCACAGGCCAACAGGCGAATCTGGCCGCTCAACGAAAAGCCTCCCGACCGAGGCGTCGGCAAAAACCGGCTATAGCCCTGACGACCAATTCGCCATCGACAACATGGTCCGCCTGAATGGGGACAAGTTCGCCGACGCATTCATCTCCCTCGCCAACTCCTCCTTCGTTGTCGCGCTTCCAACATTCATCGTGCCGGCGCGAAGGCCGGGCTTCAGCTACCAGACGGATGTGAAGCTCACGCGGGGGATACCAATGGCCATAGCCCCGCTTGTGATATTGATGCCCGTGCTCATGGTCTTCTTCCTCGCAGTCAGGGAGTGGAATACCCCCACCTGGACCGAGTTCCTGGACTCGTTCGCCATGTTCCGCCTCGGCAGGGGTTGGGAGAAGGAACTCGATGGCAGTGGCGCGCTAGAGTTGAAGGAGTGTTGGCAGGTCAGGGATATTCCCGGCGTGGTGGGTGACGCCGAGACGAAGAAGACGAGGAAGGTCATGGAGAGTTCTGGGAGGGAGTATATTGGTGAGCTTAAGCTAGGTGGAGAGGGGGAGTTGAGCCCCCATGTTAGGTATGCTTGATTAGGAAAATAGTGGTAATGCCTTAACGACGGAATTTAGGGATGATTTATTATTGTAAACTTTCTTTTCACTTTTTGGTCTTGGCGTGTATATAATTGACAGGATGGCATAATTGACATTCAGAAGCTCTAGCGATGGGGCATAATAGAGCAAGCCCCGGCTTTTTACCCACCTTCTTCTGCTCAAGTCACTTCCAATTCCCCATCTTCCCTTTAGATTTTTCTCTCGGGTGAGCCGGGGGTTACTACCATGGCTGCAAGGCTGAGTTTCGTACATTGGCTTTGCAAAGAAGAAATTACCTTGATATACATTCACTGTAAAAGCAGCAAGTAATCCGTTGTGGTGTAATGGTCAGCATCTGTCGCTCTCACCGACAAGATCGGGGTTCAATTCCCCGCAACGGAGGCATTTGTTTTGTCTTTTAGACTTTGACGAGAACATTTTTGGCTGTCTCACTGCTAAGACCCTCTCTTTCCCTTGCTACGAGACTAGTGGCTTGGCATTACCCACCTCCATACCGTATTGCCGGCACCAGAGAGCCGGAATCACTTTCATACCCCGTGCTTTTCCTATGAAGATCTGACACTGATACGTTAAACAGGAATACACGCGATCCCCTCCCTGTGGGGAATATAACAACTAGCAGGTTCCTAGTGTATGTAAGTTCCAATATACCACTGCAACAGGAACTATATATCATTCTGGGAAGATGGAGCAGACTGCTTCCGTCGGGGGGTATTGCAATAACTCATTCGATCAGATATGAAATAGAAAGAGTCGAATTGGGCACCATATAATACGGTATCTGGTTATGGTAACGAAAGCGGGCTATGAAGTATATTCGGGAATTAACACGTGTATGAATTACACCTTTCCGCGGGGGGTAAGTCTATGGTAGAGTTATAGTGTGAGCTAGTGAGCCATATGGGGTTGGTTTTCTGGTTAATATGGTACATTGTGAAAGTTGATATGCGTAATTTCCGAACATCATCACAACAATCCCCATCCGTTGTGGTGTAATGGTTAGCATTTGTCGCTCTCACCGACAAGATCGGGGTTCAATTCCCCGCAACGGAAGCATCCATTTTGTCTTTTAGACTTTGACGGGGGTCATTTTTGGCATTGCCTCTCTGGGAAGACCCTCTCTTTTTCTTGCTGGGGGAACTAGTGGGTTGGCATTACCCTCCTCCATACCGATATCACCCGTGTTTTTCCGGTCTACCTTTGCTGCGGAAGTGCTCCCTTCCAATGTGTGCTCACGCTGTGCTTTGACTCAATTCCTTGTTCGGCATGTTGAAAGTTGTCAGCGGTGGGAGTTCAATAGTTAGATCCGCAGCGTCTAGCGTCCCAGATCCATTACACTTTCAGGACTTTGCGACGAAGCCAATGTCGCCGTCTACCGGTACCAGAGGGCCGGAATCACTTTCGTGTCCTGTGTGCCTATCAGGGGGTCTGACACTTGTATGTTAAACAGGAATAAACTATCTCGCGATCCCCTCCCTGTGGGGAATATAACCACTGGCAGGGCCCTGTCGTACGTGAGTTCTTATATACCACTAGGAACTACATTCCGTACCGGGAAGACGAAGCAGACTACCTCCGCCGGGGGGTATCATACCAACTCATTGGATCAGATATCCAATAGAGAGTGTCGAATTGAGTGCCGGACGGTCGGGAATTACTCGTTAAACGTGTAGGGATTACATCTTTCCGCAGAGAGTGAGCCCGTGGTGGGGTTTTAGCGTGGGCTAGTGCGACATATAGTAGTCCGTGCTCTGGCAGGCCCAGCCGCAGAACTACCTCATTGAAGATGTCTGATATTGTTGCTAGAAAGTTGTGGATTCCGGGAGATAGGTCCGGTTAAGGCCTAGGAGCCAAGGTGTGAGAACACGCGTCGTACTGCCTAATTATCTTAGCGCCTTCCTCCCTCCCTCCCTTCCTTCATTCCTTTCACGGCAGTTGACTTTAGCTCTTTCTCTCCCTCTCCTAGGCGGCTGAAATACCGTATGATACAGCACGGTCTACAAACCCCGCACCCAAACGGAACACTCGTGAATTTGCGAGTGTCCAATTTCCACTCTCGGCTCACGGCATCATATGATACTCGCAGGGTTATTTGATCACATTGTAGGAAATTTTATATGCGTAATTTCGAACCCCATCACAACAATTCCCGTCCGTTGTGGTGTAATGGTTAGCATCTGTCGCTCTCACCGACAAGATCGGGGTTCAATTCCCCGCAACGGAAGCTTTCCTTTTTTTTTTGTCCTTTTTTTACCCCAGGGAATTGTGCGGAGGAAGGGAGGAAGGGAGCTTTTCTGTTGTGAGGTTAGGTCCTAGGCTTGGCGTTGGAGGAACAAACATTAGGCTTGACGGTGGTCACGTTTTGGGCATGGTCGGGGTGATCTCGGAGACCGCGTTAAGATTACGGTATGCATGGCGCTGGAACATGGGGTTTGGGCGTTTGTTGTGCTCGCAGGTGTGAGATCAATGCTGTGCTCTAGAAACATTAGTCGACGGGCGCTAAATACCGGCGGCGTATCATACTCGAGTACAGTACAGGAAACGCCCCACGATACCAAGGAGCATGAAATGGGGCATTCGGACTACGCGCTCCCTGGCCCAAAACCTCTCGGCAAGCCTTAAAACCCCTCCCTTGGTTTTACAGACTACAGCCTACGGGCGCCGTTCAATCTCGGATACTCGAAATGTGTGCCACGATATATCGTTCGAGTTACCGCCGCTTGTAAGCCGCGGTACTATCATTTATTTATTTATTTATTCCTACTCACGCCTTTTAGAGGCTGAAGGGCTCGCATTTTGTACAGTACTCGTACTGTTTCTTTTTTTTTTCTTTTTCTTTTTCACCGCCGTTTCGTTGGAAGGAAATTTTGGTCTAACTTACCGTATCGTACCACTGACTAGCTTTTGGTAGCGCTGCTTGAGATTCTGCTACAGTAGTACAGGTACCGGCCCATGCAGCTTCACCACCTGCTTGATCACAGTTCTCGAGGGCACTAAGGAAGTGTGGTTAAAATAATACTTACGATCACTTTATTTACCTTGACGGGCACAACAAGAGAAAGGGGCAACTCTGCATACATCCCAGATCACTAAATTTACCACTATGACTGCAGTGGTCCTAGCCAAGGCCACCCCGTTGCCAAGGTGCAGGTTGACTCCACCAGCAAGAAAAGCAAAAGAAAAAAAAGGAACGAGTGAATCATAATGACTAGACCACCATACCGTAGCACCTACAAAATTTCCCCCACGCCCTGGAAACTTGGATGGGAGCAAGAGCAAAAAACGATGCTTCCGTTGCGGGGAATTGAACCCCGATCTTGTCGGTGAGAGCGACAGATGCTAACCATTACACCACAACGGATGGTGGTTGTTGAGAATGCCTGAGAAATTACGTATTTAGGCTTCTGGATGTGGAGGTGACTGTTCGGGTTACAAGTAGGTTGTGGTTAGGGAATAGGGCTACAGTCGGACGTGACTTGGAAGGGGATAATTATCATACGTGGCTTCTCATCGCGATCTGAACGATGTAGCTATTATACTACCGGTACGGTAGTTATCAACGGCCACTGCTTATATCATGCTGACGATAATTGTACTCCGGCGATTATGATATCACAACTCCATACAAAGAAAATTATGGTTTCATGAGAGCACCTGTTCAAGTTCTATCCCAGCAGTCTGACCCACAATGAGGAAATAAAGGTACTGTAAAAATAAAATAAAAAGATGATGATGATTAGGCCCAAAGACCCTGTAGGAAAAGCCATTTCCGTCTGACGGGAAGTGAAACTGGGTGCCAATGATCACTCCTCCCCGATCTTGCACTCCGCCCCACGAGGTACTAAGCCCACTTTTTAAGTACCGTACTCGTAGCATACTGCGTTGATTCTCGGCCAGCTCTGCTCAGTAACAGATAAAATAGGGTAACCGAAAGGCACGGACCGAGGTAATTTCCCCTAAAATGGAACCTGTTTTTTGCAGTTTCCTTTGATTACAGGTATACAAATTGTGTAGCTGGAATGGCAGATTCATAGCCAGGAAAACGTCATCCCGGATGGATCGCCAGTCTAGAAGTATTCGCAAAACTTGAGCTATCATAGACTTCTCTCAACATATGAAGTTCCAACCCTGAACATTAGGGTTGGAGGTGTCCGTATTCAAATCAGTTGCTTTTTAGTGAGACAGGTCGTTTACCCGGCGCAATCGCTTATCAGGTGAAGCACACTGTTGCCTTGGGATGAGGGGTTAAGGCTACCCAGCAGCCATCTTTTTCAAGGCTCTAGAAACCAACTCAGTGTTTGCAGTGCGAGAAAGACTACCTTCTGCGCAGGGTGAACAGAGGAAGCAGATTCGGTGAGAAGGAGGAAATATAAAAAAAGGATATCCTCCGTTGCGGGGAATCGAACCCCGATCTCGTCGGTGAAAGCGACGGATGCTAGCCGTTACACCACAACGGAATATGAAGAACATTTCCAGGTTTACATCTATAGAATATTAAACGTAGGCTTACACCGAAATCTCTTACTTTCGAAGTGTTGGTTGGCTAGGGTCGCAACAATCACCATTACACGCTACAAAACTTGTGGAGTAAATAGGAGGACCAATTCCCCGCTTGGCTATCAAAAAACCGCCCCACAACGCCAACCAACCCCAAACCATGGAACGAGAACCACAATGTTGAACCACCCAAAAAACTCTATAGGTACAGAGACCACTGTCTTTCCTACCAGCTTGTGATTACGTTTTACCTCTTTCCGAAAAAGTTTCTCCCGTCTCGAGGTATAATAATAACCCCTGGGGGGTGAGAATAAGTAAATTTTTTTTTTTTTTGTTGGTTCAAGAACACTGTAATTCTAGCTACTTGAGCTAAGCATATACTCGAGTAATTAACCCACCATCGCTTCCAGCATGCAGAAACTTTTTATACCGCTTGTCCCGCCCGCGCCGCACAATCAAGGGTACAGTAACTCAGGCCGGCGGGGCCGCAAGTCAACGGTCACAAACGCGAAAAGTGGGATTTCTGACAGAGCGGAAGCCAGGGTTTGGAGCTCAAAAGTGCATAAAAACTTGATCAACTTTTACCAATTGTATAGATGTCTGATTTAGAACATTGCGATTGTGGGTTCACTCGAACTGGCTGTACTGTACAGTGCTTTACTGACGCTAATTTGTTGACCATGTGTGATCGCTTTCAGGGTGGGATAGGTTAGGACCCTATTGCATAAATGAGATCTCTAAGAATAAACTAGAACTTTTTCTCTCCCTTAGATGGGTTGATTTCAATATGGCAAATGTTGCGAGGCTCGCTGGGAGGATTATCCTTGGGCGGGGGTCGGTAGTCAGCAACTGCAGGTAGACCACCGTGTAATACTAAACTACCTCCCTCTCGTCACACTGAATAATAAGGTTGGGATACCGCATTCCTCTGTAGGTCCTCCGGGTTCAATTGTTGTCTTGACCGACATGGGCATCACATAGTGACTCTTTATCCGTAGGAACCAAAATGATTCATGTCGCACCAAACTACCGAGCGAGTGCCGACAATACCTCACTATAAAAGACATAGAGAACAAACTGGCTCTGGAGCTGGATGCTTTCGGTTTCCCCAATAGCTCGTCTGCGGGAGGTCCTTCATCAGCGTGACAAATACAGTACTACATAACCAAAGGGCTACTCCTCCGCAGATTCCGGGTTACATTGGGCCAATGCTTCCAGTCGTCCGGCCCGTTCCAGGAAGGGGTGACGAAGGTAGAGGACGACTGGAAGAAACGCATTGGGCTCATGAGCGGGAGACAAGAAACAAGGTGATAACCAAGTTATGGGTGACGGCGCTGCCAGGCCCAGGTATGATAATATCATACAATAAACAGCATAATAGCAATTCCAGATGACTAATCAAATATTAACAATGTCTAAAGGGGGGTGGCTCTATCGTGCATCACTCGACAACCGAATCAGGCACCCTAAGCTGGCGGCAATGATGTCCCCCACAGTATATTGGAGTCGCGGTACGACACCAGCAGACTGCAGAATGAAATACACGAGCTGTTTAAACAAAACCAAAAGCATCGCGCGAGGGACAAGGAATCCCAAATCTTAATTTGGAAAGGTCTCCGGGGGAAGGGGAAGGGGGGGGGGGGGGGCTTTGCTTCACGAGGCCAAGGCGGAAACCGTTGGCGTCTCAGAACATGGACCTTCCGCGCTTCGACCCTGCCGTCCCACGGGACCCGATCTATCCGCCAAGCCTAGAACTTTCCAAGGAGGTTTCGCTCCAGGAACGAGCAATTGGCATCGTATTCGTAAAAACTCGAGCGAGATTTTTTCAATTCCCATGCTGAAGAGATATTATAACCCGGCAACGCTCCGGGGCGAGCTTCCGGAATACTTTTAGAGGCGACAGGAGCTTCTTTGGAGCGGCCCCACCTATATCCGGATACGTTCGATATCAGATTAATCTACTCGCGGGAAATCCAAGCCATGGCGCAACAAGGGTTAGATTTTTTGCTGTTTTTTTTCCCTTCTTGAACCGCGGTTTAATCTCGCTCAAATAAGTTGGAAAGATTGAGTTGTACGAGTACTACTGGAGAGCGGTACAGTACGGTACTCGAGTACGATACAGCTGTGCAGCTTTCCTCCGAGTTATTTTCCGGAATGCGAGATTGCTCGCCAGGTGTGCTTCCTTGCTGGGGCTTATGCCGAGGAAAGCTAAAACCAGACTCTTGACAGCAACGGAAGCCACGCTCTTTGACCCTACTTTGGCCCCTCAGGGAACAGCCCAAAGCACCCCGCCAAACCCATCAATGATGAAAACGTGGCAATAGGCTTCCAACGGCGCCTAACCTCCTTCCCCAGAGAGGGAAACCCAAACACATATACGGTAGATCCAGGGAATTCCCACCCACCAGCACTTTCCCACAAATGACTGTCCCGATTGTCAACCACTATTGGGATTCACGGAATAGCATCATTGACTGAGTGATACCGGTAGGAGAGCAATTTTGGGGCGGTTCTCAGAATGGAAGGGGACATGGTCACGGTTAGGGTTTTTCTTTCATCCGTTCGGATGGTGCCAGAGGGGTTTCCGGTATCCCAGTCGAAGGGGGGGGGGGGTTTGGAGGGGATTTGATAAGGGGGGATTTGCGAAATGATTAATGCGATGTCTCAAATTAATGCTCGAATGGGGAGCCGCGGAAGTAACCATCTAGGTCGCACACTGTTGTAATTCTTATTTGCAGATGCAGGGAAACTTAAGGAACCGAACCTCTATTCAATTTCTACAGAGTACAGGACTTATATATATACTATCCAACCTTAGCAGTCACTGTGGATGATCTGTCCAATACCAAGATCATATCCCCATCTAGGCTTCCTAGCGTAGATGCTATCTCGGCTCTCGCTTAACATATCCTCCACTGAGGACTACAAGAATCTTGAGAAGCAACTATTTCCGACACACACAGCAAACTGTATTACGAGTGAGCGACTGTGATTGGAATTCTCGCAGCCGCCCAGAGAATACATACGGTGGGTCGGCTTCTCGGCAAGGAACACACATGCTAAAGGCCATGCCGTCCAGTTTTGGGGATATGGCTTGCACACCGCGTAATCGTACGTCCCCATCCTGCGGCATCAATCTGGGATCGATTTTTGTTTATTTATTATTTGTAAGGACCGGGCCACTACAGTACTCTATGGTCGTTCCTAAGACACAAGGTATTGCCTAGTCTCTGCGAGAATGGGCCGTGAAACTATCATTGGCACGAGACACGATATTAGACGTTTGATAAAGCATAGAATGATAAAGTAAAAAGGTTACTGAAAATAGAAGTAGTGGAACGCCTTACAATGGCGAGGTGATATATATTGGGATGAAATGGTGGATGGCAAGCGGTATGGTGGAAGGGAAGAGGGGAATATACTGTCCTTCGTAAACGACCGTTATGCCTCATCTGTTCATTCCTGGACACCCACTCTCACACCTATGTGTTTGCACACGAGAACGTAAAGGCCATCTTCACCTCCTTGGGATGTCGCCTGGCTACAGATTACAGGAGAGGGGAGTAGTCACTGGTGGTGTTGGATAGGAAACAATGCTCTAGGGAGAAAGGAAATCAAAGGGATAGGGATAAGTAAGGAAGTATGGGGATACATTGGCTAGTCACGGAGGGAGTATTTAGAGTATGAGCGAGGTGTAATGGGTTTTGGTTGTGTAAATTAAAACATGCAAACATCCCCTAGAGGGAGGTTTGGGCAGCTCGGGAAGCTCTGTTGGCGATGCCTCAACATCTATCGACTTGGGAACAATGATCTTCCGGTTTAGTACCAACATCACAACTCCTCTAGGGGGTGATCCAAAGACCTGGAAAATGATATTCCACCCCCTATACCTGTCATGCCCATGATGACATGGCCCTTCTAGTTGTATCATCACGACTCCTTCATGTCTGTTCCTTCTCGCCCACGAGCGCGGTATTCGGTAATATCTGTCTGCCGTATTGGGTTTGGCTCGTGTCGTTCAGGCGGCATCCCATAGCTTCGTACCGCCTCCCCCTCTCGACGGCCCACAAGAGCGCTGTATGGCGATATTCGGTGTCCACTGTGCCGGTAAGCATTGCCCCGTTCTAATAGTATCCTCACAACTCCCTCTACCACCTCTGGGGCCCACATGAGTGGAGCTCGGCCATTCTAGTCAACAGTGTCTGGTCCAATAACCCTGCATCCAAACAAAGCATTCAGCACCTTGTCATGCACTCCTCTAGCTGCCCGCAGAATCTGCGTATTATCTTTCCAGAAAATTGCATTGATGTCCCATTTCTCGCTCACCAACAAAGCAACTGCTGTCACCTGTAACCCGAAGTCTCCTGCACCGTGGAGACCTGTAGATTTGTGAGAATGTGATGGATATCCTAATCTGGCTCTCGAGCCCACTAGGTAGTCAGGGTGCCCGTGGTACCGCACCTTAGTGATTTCTCGTCTGGTATGTAACCCCAAAGAACAGGAAGCATACCGGTACACGAAAAAGCGGGTTGCAGACGGGGGACGGAATTGGGAGTAGGCGAGAGATCGAAACCGAGATACGTCAAGCAAATCGCTGAAATCATAGGGGGGTGCTCGGAATGGTGTAGGCTGGTGAGAGTGGTATTTGTGAAGAGTCAAGTGGATAGGGGGATGGTGGAAGAGGACGCGGCAAGGCCGAGAGAGGGGGACCAACTGGAACGCTAGCACTGTCCCTGCCGCTAGGGCGTTCTCAGTGTTCGGGCCCTAGACCTCTCTCTAACGCGTACGGGGGTGGCGTGTCATAGCTATAGCGACCAATTGTAATGTGGCACCCGCACCGGGACATCCATCGCCAGTCGGGATTTGCTCCTCTTTGATGCCTTGATCCGTGGTATAGTTGCCGTGTACATATTCCCTTTTCCCTGTTTTCGTCTCGTGCAGAATCACCCGCGATGGACCATCACTTGACCCAGGGCTCCCCTCAATATTGCGTGAGGGGCCGGGAGGAATCTAGAGATCATTATTGACAATGCCGCAGAGCAGCCCACACTTGGATGGGGAAAGCTGTTGGTGTCCCTACTCACATTCCAGATACCACTTCCAGCACTATATTCATAACCTCAGCCCGTAAACCATCACTCATCACATTCGGTGTCGGGTTCTGGCGAACCTCATCTATATATCTCGAGTGGTCGTCGGTCCTGAGATGGGTAGGTATGGTGAGTGACCACCACGGCGAATCGCTATTCGATTTTGTCTTGGATGTAAACTTGGGTCTTCTGGCGGACTATATCCGCGCGTCCGGGGCCCCGCGAGTGACATCTCACAGGCAGCAAAGATGCCTCGGCCAATTTCCGGCACGGGTCCATCCGGGGTCTTTATTTAGGGGAGAATCTATCATAACGATAAATAATCTTTAGCATTGCCCCCAGACAGGGAAGTCGTAAAGCCCAACTGCTAAACTCCTTTTTTTGCCCTTCGAGAGCCATCTCGTATATACTCTAGGACCTCCCCTCTGTCAACAAGTTATTCAATCACCGCGCCCAACATGTCAGGGTAAACCCGTTACTCCGCAGTGGAGCCCCACGACCCCGATATCGTTTCCTCATACTGGCCACCAAGATTATCAATCGTTGGGGAATTGTCACTCAAAACCGCCAACGATACTTTGGTTATTTCTGCCCGACAATGGCGCTCTTACCTAAGGTAATTAGGCCCCTCGCCCCCCGATTCCCGTGCCAGAATAGAACTCGCTGAGCACGAATGCCTTCTATGGTCGAATCACTCAACCTCCTAAGCATGCTTGTTCCAGAAGCCAACCAATCCGCAATTGCCATGGAGCCGCTTGTTTCGAAAACCTTGACGCCGCTGCTGAGATTCTAGTGGTGATAATGATCGGAGAATCCTAAACCTAACTATATGCATCTGTATTGATGGGTAAGATGCTGTTGCAGAACTATTGAAAGGGCTGGAAGGATTGGAAGGATCAGAACAAGTGAAGGGGTTCACCGGGAACGTGTATTTCCAGGAACCATCCCTTTGCCACCCTGTCGGAAAGGCCCTCGAGGGGTTGTTGGTAAACAAGGGAGTTGTCACCGGGTTTGACATGATCCTCAGGAGTCAGAGGTTTGGAGAGGGGTAAAAGGGCACTCGAGCGAGTCTCAAGCGTTTGCAAAAACAGATGGCCCAATCAATTGTGCATGTGTGTCCGTCACTCTGTGGTGCCAACGATCGACGTCACCATTCGCAGCCCTTCACCCTATCAAAACCCGATCCTCTGAGGTAAACATCGCTACGATATCTCTATTCTCACTTTTTAGTCTTCTCACCTTGATCCAGCTCACTGTAAACCCTAAACTAGACGAAATGTGACGGCGTATAATAAGAACTCGAATAACAAACATGATGGAAATTATCATAGGGCCGGGGTGGCTATGATGCCTCTCCTACTGGGAGAAAGGTTTATGTAAATTAGTGTCCCCTTCTTTTTCTTCTTCTTTTCTTCTTCCCAACCTGTGATATCTCGGAAAGCAGCTTTTCCGAGCTGATATTCACATCTTTTTCCACAAGTAGAAGTTCTAGAGTTCTCTGCTTGAATTTCCCGTCGCCGAGTTCCACACCCGGTGTCATGCACGAGGCAAAGATGGGGTTGGACGGCATCGTAAATTTACTGCTTTGGGCATTCTCTTCCCGATATCTCGTAAATTCAGACATGGCACCCTTTTTTTTTTTTGCCTCCTGGGTACTGGTAGGTACAGATAGTTCTGGTAGAGGGGGAGGGAGAGAAAAAAACAACAACAACAACAACCATACCTTCTCCTCCTAGCCCACACAGTATCTTCACGATTCTATGAGGGTGGGAAACCTAGCTCACCGACAGCTATTGTGCGAACTCTCATAATTTCGGGAACATAGTTTTTCAATTTCTAGCTGAAAAGCGTGTTGAAGAAGAGGAGCGGAGACGTGCATGACATGCACTTGGGAGCAAGAAAAAAATCTGTAGTTATCCATGTGGGGGATCGGAAGTACGACCATTATCATACTTCCCACACGCATGGTTACGAGTGAGTGCTTGTACAGTTTTCCATCATGTGTGCACAGGATGGTACAGCAGCAGCATAATTAAGATACCAAGCTCCGCATCTCCCACATCTCTTCAAAGGTTCCACCACATTTTTGGGTCCTTCCCACTGCTGCACTTACCAGATAAGATAGATACGGAGTATTATAGATATATTAAACCAGTGCTAACTCTCCGCCCCGCCAGAAAAAGTATTGCGGTGCACTTGCATTTCCAATTCTGTGAACCTGTAGCCTGAAATGCCACGCGCCTCCCCTCACCCCCTCCCGGATGTCTAGAAACCTTACTGTAGAACCTCCCCAACCTCCCGGTGCGCCCTCGCAGATGGCGGTGGGTGGAGCCTACCCGAGAGCAAGGCATAGGAGTCATATCTGAGCATAATACCGTAAAAACTGGCTAAATCCACTATCGGCAATCTGGCCCCCAGCCTTCTCAATCCGAGACAAGGTACCCTGAGAAGGAGTAGTGTTATCGAGATAGAGTATAGCTTGTGAAGGCTGAGCTTGCTAGGTCTCTTTAACTGGTATTCGTAATTTTGTTAACCTAATCTGTTAGGCCTAGTGCGGTTTAGACAGTGACTTCTGTTGAGATCTCCGATGGTGGATTTAGCGAGTTTTTACGGTATGAAAACTCGCTGTCAAAGTCGAGTGGACATCGAGAGTCTCGGACCCCTTTTCCAAGCACGTATCGTATCCGCACCCGCGCTCAATAAGGCTTCGGGATAGGGCGCCGAGCGTGCCAGGGCGCGATCTAGAAATTCCCTCTTTCACCCGGTCCGGTCGTGTTCACCGTGGTAGGGCTGTTTTACCTTACTGTACATATCCTCATCCGCGGGGTATTGGAACCCACGTCCTATCCATCTATCATGGATTGATTGTGCGCAGTGGGCGAAATGTGAATGGTTGGAATGGATCTGGTGGATGGAATGGGGGGGAATAAGAATAATAATATCATGATAATAATCGTGATTACTCCTGATCCCGTTCTCACTCGACAGCACTGCAGCAGCTCAAAACTAATCGGGAAATGGGAAAATGTGAGTAATTTCAGTGCACCGAAATGCTCGCAGGTGCCCTTTCTCTCTCTCACCCCTCCCACCACCTGGGAGTGCTACTAGTATGATAAGACAAGTCGAGATCGGGGTTTCCCCTCTGACCATTTTTTTGGGGGGTCTTGTGTTCTGAGGGGCAAAAAGCCTCTCGAGGTTCTTTCACGGCTGATGGGCATTGAATACATAGCGGGTTAGGCTTTGGAAGACTAACCTTAGGGAAGGAGGGAGGGGGAGGTAAACCTTGTGTACTGTACCAGCACAGTGCGTTCAGTACAGCAGGTGACAACACCAAGCCCAGGGAGAACTAGAACTTGTGAAAGTCCAGAGGGGGAGCAAGGTGCCAGCTTGGGAGGGGGGAGCACAGTTTTTGAGGATACTGTTGGGGTCACAAAAAAAGGACACCGTGCTTGACATGACACTGCGGGGCACCTCTTGGTCACTTCTCATCCTACCTGGAACAGAATTTCCGGACAGGCCAGATTTCCACGTGGCCTCAAATCTAGGGAGAAGGAACTCGTAGGGTTCTGTTCCGCGAGGCGGTGATTCACATTATACACACACTTTGGACGAGATGGGACGTGTCGATTCTGGAAGGTGGTCGAAGCCGGTTGCGGTTGGTGCACGAGTAAGGAAGAATGTTCGGGAGGGTGCTGAGGTGATGGCACAGTGTGCTTGGACGCGGTGGGGATATGGATGGATGGAAATTTCTCGGGAATGGGAGAGCTGGCTTCATGTTCTTTCCGCCATTGGGAATCGTGGAGGATATCCTGTCATACAATCATGTCCCTTCACCTTGCATTGGAATGTTGTGGAAAAAAGCAGGCACTGCGGTGGCGGGCAGGAGGATGACCGTAGATTGCATATACTAGGGACTTTGCGAAAAGACTCTGGATGTGGGTCAAACAGGGTTCTGGGCCAGTGAGATCGCTAGAATTTGACTCTGGATGCGAAATCGCAAAGTCTCTACTGCACGAGCACTTGACAGCCATCTTGCAGGTACTAGTACAGTAGGAGTAGTGTTCGGATCATCACGCTTCCACATCACCGGCTCGGACCCCTCCCTCGGGATCCCCGAGTCATCGGGACGGGAGTTACCATGACCGAGTAGGAATCCCGCGATACGGCACTCGCACTAGCTCCTGTAATCCCACGCCAAGACATGGTATATTACAAGTATTCGTACCGTACAACTATCTTTTTCTAAAATACAAGTACTGGTATAATAGTAGAGCCCTTTGAGATCCGCAATCTCCATCCCTCCTGGCAACATTTGTCTCTGAGCCAAGAGATTAGCGAGCGAACGGAGATGACAAATCTCAAAAGTTTCCGCTGTACCGGTAGACTACTCAATAGCAGCTCGCCCCCACAACGCCGCACTCAAGACACCGGCATGATAACCAATACCAAAAACCCACCATAAGCACCAACCACTCCAGCGCGCCTACGCCGCACGGCCTTAGGCTCTCAATCCCCGTCACGAGTGAAATCCTAAACGCCATACGATAGACCATTTCAGGGTTCGGGGGTAGTGGTAGGATACGTGCAAATGGATCCGGACTCTAGCCATGATACAAGTACGGTAGTTCCGTGCTTTTTTGGTAGACAAGGCTATAAGTTCGTACTTGATTACTAACCCGTCAGAATAGTAACAGCTGTACCGTACTCGAATGCCGGTATAGTGTAAATAGACTCAAACCGGACCCT